CGCCGGTTCCCCGCCAAGTCCCCTTCTGTGCGCGCCGGGACTGAGGAGGGCGAGGGCGGCCTCGGGTAGGTCCCGCCGCTGCCGGAGATGCGAGCCTGGGGGTGTAAGCCCTGGTAGGTTCGAGCCCCCGGGGATGTGAGCCCCGGCGGGTTTCCTCGCTGTCCTCAGCTCGGGCGCGATGTAGCGCTCTGACCGCGGGAGATGCGCTGGGATCCCCACCTGAGCACTGGGTCCCGCGGCGCTCCTTGCCCTCCGGCAGCCTCTCCCGGTGACGGGGCGACGCTCCCTACCCTGCCTCTCCCTGAGGAGAGCTCTGGTTGTAGCCAAACTCTCTTCGGGTGTGTGCAGCTAGGCATCTCCAGGCTCCGACCCGGCAAGCAGAGAGAGTTGTCTTCCCTGATATCCCGCCCTCGAAAGGCGGCGGAGGCCTCCGGTATCCCGCCTGGGGCTGGTGGTGGTGGGAACGGGAGCAGAGCGGTCTCGGCCCCACGCAGCCCGCATTCCAGCAGAGTGTACACCGAGTCTGAACAGACACTGCAAACCAGGAATGCTCTGTGCATCCATTTTGCCTGTGGGCGTCCCGATGTGAGTGCCAGAGCAGCCCGCGCACTCTTGGCTGCGATTCTGGAGCCCGGCAGGGTAGGAAACAGGTAAAGCTGCTTGAGGAGTGCCCAGACAAGGAGCTCCATCGCCTTCCGTCCTGCTGCTGTGTGGGAGTGTGTGGTCAGGGTGGGAGTTGATTCACCTCCAGTAGGATACTAATCTGCCAGGGTCCATAGGTGGTAGCTCCTCTCTGTATACAGGTGGGGTTCAGTTCCTCGCAGTATCAAAGTCGTGCTCCTTCACCTACTGTTGGTTTTGATTCTTACAGTTTTCTTAAAGAAGGGAGCTTCTCATCCCTTCTCAGGGTCCCTGCATCAGCAGTTCCACATATGTTGTTTGTTTCCCTGTGGAGTAGTTGGTGGGCTTTTTTTTTTGAGGTGTTTCAGTAAAAAGGTGTCTAATTTTACATTCAGATCAATTTATGAGATTTAAAGCTAAATTTATAAACAGCTGTTGAACCATAATCGAATTCTGTGTTCTTTAGTGAGGACCTGAAATTCCTCTAGGTAGAAGTGAGAAATAATGGCTTTGCTTTGCATGGCAGATGCAGTTCAGCAGTGCATGTTAAGTTAGTCGCTTCCTTGGCTGAGCAGTCATTCCAGTCCTGCAGCCTCCCTTGTAAAAGTATTAGCTCTTACCTGGTTTCTTGCTGAGCTACTTCAGGGAGCAAAACAAAGCATAATTTTCCAATGTTGATAGCTTTTGTTGCCCTAGCTCTTTGAGCTGGCTTGTCTTGAGGTATACATCATCTTCAGAGTGGAGGGATCATTAAGATCTTATATTGATTTAGCTCTGTCTTCAGCTACACCATTGGTGAAACGAATATGCTTTGTAATTTTATTTTCTGATGTTCCATGTTTGAGAGATTTGCTTCAAACTTTGTCTTTTGAAACTGGTGAAAATTTTTAAAAGACCTGAAGTGAGCCTCTCTAGGCCACATGAGAAACTAGAAATGTACTGTGTAAAAGCTCAAGTGGAGTACAGTACAGGTTTCCTTTGCTGTCAGAATATTTCAGTTTGAATTTTTTTCTTTGTATGGGTCCACAAGTGAACTGAATAACACCTTCAACTACATGCTTCAACTATGTTTGAGATCATTGGCATCCCTGTTTTGTTTTTTTTTCTATTTTTTTGTGAACATGCACCCAAAATTTGTCTTTAGAAGGAGGGTAACCTCTGAGCCTATCTTTGAGGTCAGAAAAAACTAATGTTTTACCATATCTTCAGGTTGCTTCAGGAAGAAGATTTTTCTAAGTTGTTTGCCCTTTGGTCCTTTAAAGCCTGGAAAATCCACAAGAACTGTTATGACTAGCAAGAGTATATATTTACTCTAGTATCTGAAGATAGGTTTTAATCCTCTATCTCAAGCTTGTTTAGGTCCCTGAATATTAGAATAATGCAATAGATCAGTCTGCAAACAAGTTTTAATAAAATGAAAGTAAGATATTCTTTAAAAAAATTAATACAGATCAAATTTTATTCATAAATAACAAGGCAAATTTCTACCAAAGAAAAGGTGTGACTAGGGAATCTCTTTTGATACATGGCTTAAATGCCCAGGTTTTGCTGCATACAGTTCTGTAAAGAGCACTACTTATAATTACAGATGTGTCTTACCCTACTGAGTGTGTTGGACGTTTAAGTTATGAAGGATTTGGGTCATCAAATTAAAAGCAAAATTGACAAATCTCTTGTTTTTCAAGTTGTCTTGGTTCTAGAAGACAGGTGTCCGCTAGGGAGAGCAGGAGCCTCCCTTGGGATGAAAGAATGTAGACCCCCTCCTTACAAATTATTATAAATTTGAAATCAAGGGGCCTTTAGGCAGAGATCTGGGGATAGGAATAACAGTTCTTTACTAGTATAACCAGGCAAACAAACAACAATAACTACAGCAATAACAAGAAAACAGAAACAGGGACCCCGTGACAGCCTTCTCGGCTGAGATGGGAAGGGATGGAGGAGAGGCTTTGTTTTCACAAACCCCTCGGGCAGTCAGTCCCGGTGCTCCTGCAGGGCTCTGAGGAACAGTCAGCTGGAACAGCAGGGATGAGCTGAGATCCTGGGCTGGTGGCTGAGGTGGATCAGCAGGGATGAGCAGAGATCCTGGGCTGGTGGCTGAGGTGTATCAGCAGCTCCGCGGCGGTGCCTGGCACTGCCACACGTCTCGGCAGGACAGGGGGTGCGAGGCCACCAACAAAGAGGGGAGAAGGAGAAGAAGCAGCCGCTCCGTCTGGGTGATGGCAAAATTCCCTTCTCTCCACCGCAGCAGCTCCGCGACCCAGCACACGAACGTCCTTCCCCGAAAACCGAAGAAGAACCAGCCCAAAAACTGTCCCCACCCTCCTTTTCTGTCCCCTTCCCCGCCCTGGGCCCGGCCACTCATGGTCCGTTGTCAAGCACCCCTAAGTACCGGTAGTTAGGTTGTCCCGGCACATAATGGGTAAAAATTCCCCGGGCAGGCCAGAAGGACAAAACAAAAAAAAGGGACACCTAACCCTCAACACAAGTGCGCTGTTGGTCCTTGCTTACTGACTGCACTGCATTCCTCTCTGCACTGGTCTTTCACATAGGGGGAAAAGAAAGGCACTTGAAAAGACAGAGGGTAATGAAATGCAAAGAAACCTCAAGACCTCGGTGCAGGAAGTGACTTCGAACTCCTCTGAAATTTAAGAGGACCCTAACTTAATCTTTATTAAATATCCGCCTGTCAGTGAGATCAAGTGTGCCCATAGTATGCTGAGTAGGTTTGTACAGTTCCTCTGAAGAGATCTGTGTAATTATGCTTTAGCTGTTCATCTAGTACATATTTGGAGGGATAAAGGAAGGTGATTGTCTTAATAGTGTATTTATGAAGTATTTATGAAGATTGTCTTAATAGTGTATTTATGAAGTTATTTATGAGGTTTGTGGAAATAGTTATGTGGCTTTTCATACATTAAAAAAAAAATAGCTCTGAGCCAAGATTTCTGTGAAATGAAGGCATATAAGAACTGCTCTTCTTATATTGTTGAACACAAATGTATGCTCCCTTAATCTTGTACAATGGCAAATTTTGTGTTTGCCTTTTCATACATTTTATCATTGTAATGGAACCTGTTGTTACACAGTACATAAGAAATAATTTTTTTGTGTTAATATTGAATACATACTCAAGAAAAAGGAAAGCTGCTAAGACTCTTAGTTGTACTCTGGATTTGTAAAAGTTCCTGTCTGGTTGCCATGACCAGCAGGTGATTTGGGTTGAACTGGAAGGTTTTCCTGGGAAGGACTGCCTCAGGTCTGTGCCCTGAGTGAGCTGGGGCCAGGGCGTCCCTGACCTGTGGTGCTTCTCTAGGCACTTGGTACTTGCTCCAGTTCATTGGGGTTTATGTCAGAATAAACGAGGAGTCCAGCAGTGGGGGCAGGCAGGAAAAAGCAGAATGCTTCCTGACTCCAGATCAGCTTGAGTGGTAATTGATTAACACAGTTGTTTTGATACATTTCCAGAAGGAGTAGTCATACCCTTACAAGGAGCACAGGCTGGCATTCACAGGACTGACAAGGTAGTCCTGTCTGCCTCTTGAGGGGAGAAAACATGACATACGATAATTAAAATCCAAAACTTGTATTCAGTAGTGAAACATATAGACTTGTTGCTCTTCTGAGTGTGCTGGCAAATGATCCCTTCTTTATTTCATGCTTTAGTAAAGACTTAGGGCCACTTGGCTGTTACCACTCCAGAGAGCCATTCCCTGTCTTCTGCCTTAGCATCTGAGCTCTGCACGTGCTTTTCAGCACAGGAACTGCTTTCTTCCTAATCCCAACACAGGGTTGTTGACACCATCCACTTCTGCACACTGCTTTCTGACAGTGTTCTGGAAGGTGGTTTATCAGTTATTTAAGTCCTTTGTTTGCAGGATAAGGAAATCTGACCTCTTTTAAGGATGACTTTTAAATGACAAAATGACCATGGTAAGCATCTGTCAAATTATGTAGTAAATGCTAAGCAAGTAGGAAATAGATGATTCCTCATAACTCCTGAGAAAATCTCACAAATGTTAAGTTGGTTTTTCATTAGCTTCAGTGGATGTAATCATTACTTCTCCTGTCACACCCTGAGGAAGTGTAGCTTAGCTGATACCTTTTGAAAAGGAAGGTGAATTATGCTGCAAGGGTATTTATCGTCTCAAGCCAAATCTGAAACTGGATTGGGTATGAGCATGCTGTGTCATGGGTAGCAGATATTTACAGAATAATGTCTAATTATTTCACTTCTGGTCTCACAAATACACATGATTATTGTAGCTGTTTGCTGGTTCCTTCTGCACAGTAACCTTGGATTGTTAAATATAATTCAATTATGCACCAAAGTACTGTAAGCTGTCTATACTATGCCTGCTCATATTAGTTAAAAAAAAATCTGATTAAAAATTCTAAGTTGCTGAATTAGTCACTATTATGCCTTTTTAGCTGTCTGGCTGTTTGGGTTTTAATCCCTGCTTTTTAATGATGCATACAGGCAAATCTGATTGCGTTAGCTGTGTATTTTTTCCAGTGACAGGTAAAGAAGAGTGGCTGGTGGCCTGATGATACACAATGTGAAAGGAGAGACATTTTAGACCTGAATTAGCACTTAATCTTTAGGAATTGTTTTCTCTAGTTTTCTATCAGATGTTGAAGGACATGGAAGTGTGTGTATTGTTCAGAACTGCTGTTTGTAACCCTGGCAGATGTTGCAGTGGAGACAGCATCTTCCATGAAAAGTAACTTGCAATAAATAAGTAAAAGGTCCTGATTGTGCAATGATGTTAAATTTAGAAATTAATTAAAACAATTTAATAATTTATAAATAAATGTAAATAAAGCATAGCAGTACTTTGATTAACTGAGATGTTCAAACAAGACTGCATGTGACAGAACTCAGTGTTTGCTTTTGCAAACACACTTAAATTTCTAAGGAGCTTGAATCAAGAAAAATTAATTGGAATTTTAATTTTTTGCTTCACTTTAGGCAACAAAAAAAAAGGTAGTTTTTAAAACTGTCTTTCTTTCCTTTTCCCATGCGAAACATTTCTCACCAGTTAAAGTTTTGTGCTGGAGAGAGAACACAAAATGTTTAGTGATTTGAATTTGTTCGGGTTTTTTTATTGCATAAGAGGACACAGTTTTAATAGGTTTTAAAATATATTTCTTTGAATTCGTCTGTTGATTGCTTGTCTTTAGTTAATGACCTTTATTGAATTAGAAGTTGATCATTCAAATATCACTCAGAACTTAAAATCTTTTTTTTAAAAGACAGAGCCAAAGAGCTTTCACTTTCTCCTGGAGCAGGTCGCTTTCTTTTTCCTGCTTTCCTTTACCCAGGTTGTAAGATTCATGGACTGCAGTGGTCTTTCTCTTACTGTCATGGTTAAGAACTGGGAATTAGATCTAAATCTAAGTTTCTGGGATTAGCACTGAACAGCTGCGAGGTGCCCTGCTCCCTGTGTGGCAGGACACAGGAGAGCTGTCAGAAGGACAACCTCCCTGTTCCTGCCAGCTTCAGCTTCTCCTGAGTGCTGCTCTGGCATCCTACTTGCTCTGGCTGTGACACCACTGCTCACCACAGACACTGTGTCAAGCCACTGTGAAGCACAAACCAGCATCTGTGAGTGGTTTTATTGACTTCTGGCCACTATAGTGGTTTTCTGATGTTGCTGATGGCAGTGTAACCCATCCAGTTAAGCTAAGGAGATGCATCGTCTTATCGTGTGCAGTCCTGTAAACATGTGCAGCAATTGTTGAAGAAAAAGGAAAGTACACTATTGAACCAGAAAGTAGATCAAAAAGCATCGTGTCTGTTGCCCTGCTTAGTAGCTGCAGTGCTAAGCCTGGCTTGGTTCCTGTTCTAGATTGCACTTCAGAGTTTTGAAGTGATGCACATAAGTGGATTTGTTTTCACTTCTTGTTTTGTGTTTCAAAGGGCTGCTTTCATGTTTTCATAATTTCTAAAATTTAAATGATACAAGGGTTTAAAATTTTGTAAATGCTCATATGTTTTGCAAAACAAAAACTTTGTTCTAAATGCAAGTTAACAGTCCTCCTAAATTTTTCTTTTTATTATACTATTTGTGAAGTACTTCTTTGTATAAATACTATTATTATAGATGCAGTTTTTCACATGAAATGACAAGTTAGTTTCTTTGGTTTGTGGCCTTTTGTGTAGCATTATGCAAGTCATTGCCTCAGTTTCTTCTGACTGCTGCAAGATACAAGGTGGAGGGGAAATTAAAACAAAATTGAGGGGGGAAATGATGCCTTAAGTTTGAGCTTTCATATTTTTTAGGTTCTGTACTGCCTTAGTGTGTGCCTTTGAACTTCATATGAAGTGTTATTAAGTTCTCTTCACAGGGTAGTTAGACAAAACAATCCTTTCCCAGCTTGAGACTAAGGACAACCGTTACAGCTTCAGGCCCAAAAAGTATAAGCAACAGCAAACTGAAGAGAATAAACTGGGAGGATGGGACTTCATAACCTGAAGCTGTAATTGGACAATCAACTCCAATATGCAAATGGACCAAAACTTATAGTAGTGTGGACACTTGTGCCTGGTTGTCCATCTTGGGTTCATTTTGGGTGTAGCCGTGGCTGGGCTCTTGTGCTGCCCAAGGTGTATCCTTTAAAGTCTTTTAATAAATACCTATTTTATTCCTTTAACTCTGTCTAATGTCTGTTCCAGATCAGACTCTCAAAGCATCACTAAATTGGAACTACTATAATTGGAAGCAGGTGGTAAAATCAGCTGCAGCTTCCTACATAAGCAAAGATGGCATCGTGTAAAAGAGAATGGCAGATGTGGTTCTTAAGTAACTTTTCTTTGGTCTTGCCACTTTTTAACAGTTTGGGCCTCTTTTTCAAACTATGGTTACTATTAAGTAACAGGAGGGAAGTAGGGTGGGTCATCTTTAAAACATTCTTCACTTAATGCTGATTTAACTGAGGTTTGTTGTTATCAATTTCCATTCCAGTGAAAGCTGGTGGGATGCGGATTGTGCAGAAACACCCACACAACTCAGATGCCAAAGAGGAAAAAGATAAGGATGTCCAAGACAGGGAAACCAGCAGGTGAGCACTTTGATTTGGTGCATGTGCTACAGTGAATTTCCATGACCTTGAACCTTATTACCAGTTTGTTTTCCTTGTGACTAGCAGACCAAAGGTGAAGTTGTTTTTGTGTCGTAAAGCACTAGCAAGTGAGGTGCTCCTTCAAGAGAATTGGGGAATTTGGTAATTTTCATATTGCTGAGCCGTCTTGAAATGATCCTTCCATGTAAGAGAAGGCTGGAGAAAAAAGTGCAATAGAAGTAAAACCTCCATTTTCCTAAAATGTCACAGTTCAGACTGTGGAGAAGCATAGAGGCTAAGCATATTTAGATACAAGCATTAGGCTGGCAGTCTATATATGAGGTGGTCTTTCTGTGTTTCTTTTTATCCTTTGGCCTCTAATCCTGTGTCTGTGAGGTATTTGATAATATGGTGCTTTTGAAAAGACAAGTAAAAATACATGGTACTAATATTATCTGATTTTATTTTTAGATGGGAATCTATCAGTTTTGATTGTGGAGGGTACTAAGACTGCAGTTACTTAGCAGTTTTAACTAGATTTAGCAGATTACTGGTGTTTAGAAATGAAAGCAGGAGGTTCAATGGACTATCACTGTTCTTCTGCTCTTACAAAAGCCACCTGGTTTTGTGCTGCTTTCCTCAGCTAGCTGTTTTTCTTCCCAGACAAGACTATATTTACCTGAAATGTTTATCTACTGACTTAGGGCATGGGTTTGTCCTTGCTATTTGCTCAAGTTAAAAAAACAAACCAGAGAATCATTCCTGTGTTGTGGTAAGTAGACTGACTTAGCTTATATTTATTTTACACATAAAATAATGATAATATATAAGTAATGTGAAAATGTCTAGAAATAAACCCAAATGTGTTTATTTACTTGAATAGGAAGCACCTTTTTGAGAAGGGAAAAATAATTTTAATTAATAAATTCAAATACCAGGCAGGAGAATTAAAATTTATGTTCTTTCTTCTTCAACCAAGTTGGTCGTCTTGTAATTCTGCACATAAGTTGAAAGAGTCTGTATTACAGCCAAGTTTTGTCTAAAGTAAGAAATTTTATCTTGGAGTCAATTTAAACTTTGTTTTGGGGTACATCCTTTTATTTGAGGTATGTTGACCTTGGCTGGACAGCCAGTGTCCACCAAGCTGCTCTCTTACTCCCTTACACAGCAGGATGAGGAGGGAGAAAGTAGGATGAAAAAAAACATGTGTCAAGATGACCGTTTAATAAAGCAAAAGCAAAGGCCATGCATGGAAGCAAAAGAAAATATAATATGTATCCACTGTGTCCCATCAGCAGATGATGTCCATCACTTCCTGGGAAGTAGGGCTTCAGTATGTGTTAGTGATTACTCTGGAAGACAAATGTCTTAGTAATGAATTTTTCCTGCCTCCTTTTCCTTTCTCCTAGCTTTTATTGCTGAGCAGATGGTATGGAATATTCCCTTGGTCAGTTGGGGTCAGCTGTCCTGGCTGTGTCCCCTCCCAAGATCATGTCTACCCACTGCTTGCAGGTGAGAGGATAATGTTGGAGAGGCAGCTTAGGTTTTGTGAAAGTGCTGCTCAGCAGTAGCCAAAACTGATGTGCTATAAGTTACATGGTGTTTCTAGCTACCAGTGCAAAGCACAGCATTGTGAGGGCTGCTGTGGGGAGAATTTACCACCTCAGCCAGACCCAGCACAGTGTTATATACTTGCTTATCTTTCTTTGGCATGCCAGCCTCATGGCAAGGAGCCTCATTAGGATCCAAATGACAAGACTTCTTGTGTCCATTCACAGATCTAAGCCTCTGTTACAGCACAGCACCTGCTTTATTCCCTTCTTCAAATGAGATTATGTTTTCCCTGTTTCACTCAAATAGTGCAGGGAAAATTTAAAATTTAACCTTGATTTTTGTGGCTATGTCTGCTGTAGCAGGTGCTGTGACACAGCAGAAGCACATCTGTAGGGACAAACAGCAGGTGCTGAGGTTTTCATGTTCACACTGTGTGTGTTTTGGAGATTAATTAGTTTGATCATCTGGACTGAAGGACCAATCCTACCTGGCATGTGTTAGGCGTCTCCTTAAACTGTGTGTTTCAGTTTAGCATCACCTGCTGGGAGTGTAGGTGAGGTTCCTGAGACCAATCCCCAGTATGAAACAAAGCCTAGGCAACTAGGCTGGAATGATTGGGAAAGAGGTGCATTCTTCATCTGTAGGTGCTAACAAAAGCAAACTGTATTTTAATACTATGAACAAAGTTAATGCTTTTAAGACAAAGGAGAAAGTTTAAAGACTTCTAGAGCTATCTTATTAACTAGTGAATAGTTAGCTGTTGCACCTCAAAATCCATTCCTTTGTTCATCTGGTCATATGATTGTCAAAATATGCATTTTGAGTGTGTCCTTTGCTTTGGTTTTCATGTACAGGATACATAATTGGTTTGTGTTAGGCACTTGTACATACTCAGTCATTCTGAGTCTGTGTATTAAGACTGAAAGCCTTGAGCTGAACTATTTTATTTCTTTGATCTAATCCTCTTGAGAAAGAAAGCAGCAGGAGGACATAAGGAACATAGTTAGGTGGGAATTAATATGAATTATAATACAAGTTAATTTACAAGTCAAGAGAAGTTGTTTTCCTGGTAGAACTGAAAGCTTTTTGTGTATGTAAGGGAAAGGATTTAATGTGTCTGTTGTAGGCTCCTTTGGGAATACTTGCACAGCTCTGGTGGCAGGATGAGCTATAGATGTGAGCAAGAATGTATTTAGCCATAGACAGAATAAGCTGGTCAAAATTAAACTAGATTTGCAGCACATCACCTGCTTTTGTGCTGAAAGGTGCAGTCCCCCAACTCCAGATGGTTCATGGTGCTGAGAACCCTTGGATTTCTGATGTGTGTGAGGGGTGGTTTATCAGGATGGATTTATAGGGATGGATTTGTCAGGAGTGGTGAAGTGAGCATTGCTGCTTTCTCCAGCACCAATATATATCTGTACTTTTGGAGCTTAGTTAGCTGCTATTTTATGTCTCTTTGTTAAGCAGATGTGGAAACATCTGTGTTTTTAACTTTCTACTTGTCATGGTTTTAGCCTTTGCCATTTTAAGGTGGTATTGTTGATACGATGCAGTCTCTACTCCCCATTGCATTTAATGTCAAGAAAGTTTCAGGAAATCTCTGTCAGCTGATATGAGCAGCTGACAATGGTATGAGAAAATAATAAAACAGAGGAGAGTAATTTGTATGTGAAGAGGGAGGCTAAGATGAGTCATTATTTTAATCTCATAAACTTAGTTGAAGACAGATTAGTGGAACTGGCAGTAAATGGAAGCAGAAGAATTCAATCTTCTCTAGAATTCTCTGGGAACTCTGAGAGCACATGGCCTCCCCATGATGGCACAAATCTGAGCAATTGCTCAGCAAGAAAGCTTTCAGCTTCAGTTCATAGAACTATTTGTGGCTTTGGAGACAGCTGGCATTGTTTTTGCAGCTTTCAGGAAAAGACTTGGATCAGTGTTTCTAGTCTTAATGTAAATGAAGCTGACACAGGTAAACACCCCTGAGATAGCTAACTGTGCTGTGATAAATGTGACTTTAACATTCACTAGGTAGGTCCTTGATGTTTCTTTTTTTCAGTTGTTTAGCAACTTGCAGTCCAGTTACTATAACTTACTCTGCAAAGTATTTTATTCAATTCTGTTTCCTAAAATAAAATTGTTGTGACAACCTCCCATTTCATGAAATTATAGGGAGACTTGTCAGAGTGGTGATTTGTGATCCCTTAAAGCAATATGTGATAAGACCGTTTTACACAAATTTAAACTTTTCCTGCAGGGCAGGTCTCAGCCTTGAGTTGTAGCAGAAATAACTTTATGTGTCTGGTATAGATATAGTTTTACTTAAAACAGGAATGTCTGGATATGATTGTATGGTGGAGAATGCTCAATGAAAGAAGGGAGGAGTTGCACAGTTTGGTTTAGGTGAACTAAAGACATACGTGGCATCCAAAGCCAGTGACACCCCCGTGGTCAGGGTGTCAAACTGTACTGTGGGGTAGGATCCTCAGCCCACAATCTCTTCAAAACGTGTGATTTTGATCAGCCTGTTTAGAGCTAGAATGCCAGCTGTCTGAACTTCTATACTGATGAATTAGTGATTTTTCTTAGTTTTTTGTAATTTACTAACACTTGTATTGGTTTGGTTTTTTGGGTATGGTTGCAGTTTTTATTGATTGACAGTCATTCTGATTGCTGCTGGTAGGCTTTTTTTGTGATGCTAGAAGAGGGTGAAACATATAAATAGAAGTATGGTTATGAATAAAAGCCATCATTTTCCAGGACAGTATGTTGTCACAGAAATTATTTGGAATAAATAGGCTACTCACAGTCCTGGGCTTTGTTAAAAGCCCCTTAATGCCTGTTTAACGTGAGATTTGCAGTATCACGTGCATTCCTGAGCCAGCTGACTCTAAGCATAACAAATACTCCTGAAAGACATACTTTGAATTGAGAGCTGCTTGTTCAGTTTTAAACAAGACATTCATTAATTGTCACTCTGGGATCTCAAGAAAAACTATTATTATCTGTCGGGATCTGGATTTAAAAAAATATTTAAAGCAGGTATCTGGCTTGTTTTTAACAAAAAAGGGTAAACTGCAAAGACTTTTATGTCTTAAAGACTCTTTTCTCTGTGTTATATTTTTGAAACAAAGTGGGTAATTACCATGATTTAATTACTCGCGATAAGTGCACTAATGTAGTTTCTCTCTATATATGTAAATTGTGTGGTTTTTGCATCTTGAGCCTGCCTGGAGATTGTGAATCCAGCATTATGCCTGACTTTTACAATGCGGATGTTTGCCTTAGTGATATCCATTGTGTGAAAGGAAAAAAACCAAGAGAGTAATTTAGAATGTTGACTCAAAAGCAAAATTATACTAATGAAGCATATGGGTATTGTATGTCAAAGACTACTCTCAATAATTAGTTACATGGTGGGAGAGGAGTGGTCAAGGTCCTCTGTTACCATTCAGTGTTACTTGTTAAGTCTGAATATTCAGGTTGAGACAAACCTGTTTTTTTTTTCTTTGAAGTGCAGTGGAAATCTCAAAAACTTGGGTGCGAGTATATATTTTCATTCAAGAGTAAATTTGTTTTTCCTTTTCCTCACTTTGCTCTGCTGCAACTGACAAGAAGTCACGGACATTATTTCCATCTTTTTATTTACTACTGAAGATTCTCCTGTCATTAATTTTTTTTTTAGTTTTTGCCTTGTCATAACCCATGTTGATCAAATTTCTGACAGAAATAAAAAAAAAATATGAATTGGTTATATAATTAAGCCATTAGGGAAGGTTTGTATGTCTGTTTACATCCTGAATATGGAAGTGTTTGGAACCATTTCCATTTGTATTTTGTTGTTCTGGTTGTTTCAACTGGGGTAGTGTAACGTGCTGGGCCCAGGTGGTCTGGCCTGGTGTTACCTTGGGATCCTTGGCTAGAGGCCCTGTGGAGGGTGACAAATGAAATGAGGGATGGGCACAATTCGGTGGCCCAAAAAATAGTACTTTAACATCCAAAACAACAAACACATAAGCTGGACAACAATATGGGGTTCACTAAAATGGCTGGGATCCAGGGTGGAACAGTAACTTACATGAAGTAGGTTAGGGGCAGAGTTTGAGGGAAAGTGGCCAATAATAAGTAGGAATTAGGGATATATAAAATACTGCAGCAAAATTTAACCAATAGTAACAGAGAAACTATAGAACTTTCCAGCAACATTTACATATAACCTTTTCAGGGGACATTGTGGGTGAGCTTTTGCTCACCCCAACCAAAGGAGAGTCTTCTTCTCAGGGCCTGGGGCAAAGTCACTTGCCAGCCTTTTGCCCTGTCAGACTCCAACAGGGTAGAAAGTGTAGAGTCAAAGTTCTGACCCTTTAGCTTGGGAGTAACTGCTTTTCAGGATAGCTAAGACCTGGGAGATGATATGCAGTGTTCAGCTCGCTTGCATGCATGTCCTTCAGGAAGTAGTTTCCATCATGTATGAAGACGTTCCAGTCCAGATGGTTCTGATGTTGTTTGTTGTAGAGTTAACAGGTGTTTGATAGAGGGAAATTTTGAGAGTTCTGTGTGTAAACAAACAAACAACCCTGCAAAACTTTGCAGCTTGTTAAACATGGAAACCAAACCCATAAAAATGTGAACAGGTAGCATTGAACTTCCATAAGTACTTGGAGTGAATAATCCATTAGTGTTCCTCCCATGTAGTTCACTGACATAAAGCTGAAAAGGGCCTCGTTACCTATGCTCATGCATCTGTACTGGAATTGTAAGCAGGCATTGACTCAGTGTGATGAATATTCGTGATTAAAAGAAAGAGACAGGTCAGGACATCAGGAATGCTACATCTTCTGTAAGTTTCTGGTGAGGAGATGTGCAACTCTGTTGGATAGAGGACTGACTGAGTCCCCTTTCACTTCAAAGGTCCCTTGGGCTATTGTGTCAGTGGAAGCAGCCCTGAAGGAGTGAACTGGTACTCTGTAAAAGCATCTGTCTTCTATATATCCTCTTCTTGGACAGAATTCAAATTTCTCCCACCGTATTTCTATCTACCTTTATTTTCCCCTCTTTCTGTGGCCTGATTCTGTTACCTCTGTGATTACCTCTGTGAACTGATATGGTTGCACAAAAGAGGTTATGTTCATAGATTGTATTGTCATTTTACACTTGACCATGTAAAAAATGAAATTTGATTAAATGTATGGATATAATGGATATGACTGAGAGGTTTTTATTCTTGTCTTTGGCCTTTGAACTCTTGTTACTCAGGTATGGAGCTTGGGAGGCAACTGGCCTTAAAAATGAAATTTCTGGGGGAAATGCAATGGAAAAGCAACCTGGCTGTGAATACTGTGCTTGTGGTTTCTGGGAAAGATGCAAATTGCAGCAAACATTGGGTCACCCCATGGTCATTTTAAAGTTTTGTGTGACTAACTTTTTCCTTACTTGGCTAAATATTCCAAAGGTTAAAAGAAAGTTCTGCTGGAAAAAGACTGTCAAAAATTGCAACTATAATTTTTTAATATTATTAAGCATAGTGCTGAACCTAGTGCAATTAGGGAAATAGCTTCCTACCTTCTCCAAAATATTTTTATTTCCCAAAAAGATTATATGCTTAGTGCTTAGGCTTTTTTTAATACCTTCCCTCTTCTTATCTTTATTATTTTGGACTTTAATTTCCTTCACAGTTAAGGGAATAGCTTCTTAATAATGTTACACTCTTCTTTACATAAGTGGCATTGCCTTAAATGCATTTTCCTACTTTATTACTCATCTTTGTGTCTCAATCTTTTGCCATAGGGTTTTTATGATTAGCAGATGCTCAAGTCTGTTTAGGTTTATATATACATAATTTGATTAATTACAAAACCTGAAAACGATATTAGCTGTGTTCATGTGATTTTTCAGGACAATACCTTTTGCAGATGACCAGTTACTTTGAGAAGTAGAAAAGTAATTGCTATGACCTCTCTTGAGCTCTATCAAACACCTGTGCAGTAACAGACTTAAGTCTGTAAATATGTACACAGTATAGAATATGTAATACTGATTTTCAAATGCAGAGCTACTGTAAATTAAGAAAATAGGCTATGAATATCTCCATTTAAGAACTGAAGGTACCTGTGAATGTAGGGAGTGGAGAAAAAGCTAGGCAAGATTATGAATTAAGCATTCTCATACAGGAAGAGGAAAGCCTTCAAAAAATTGCTTTATGCTTCCAATATTTCTTGATGATTGAGGCAGTAAGTTGATAAATCTATCAGTGTAAGTGCTAGTTCTGACATTATATGGATAGCTCTTTTCATATTCCTGAAGTACTGTGTACATGTGTGAAAAAACTAAAAAAGATCTGATATTTCTCCCTCTCAAAGTGAATAAAAGCTAATGCCATCCAGCTCAGCGAGAGCTGGGTTCAGTCCCAAAAAAACATATGCTGTCTTGTGAAATTAGCTGGAAAGCTGAGTTGAATTGTCAGCCAAGCTGCTGTAAGAAAAAAGATTTTAAAAGAATGAAAGTCTTCAGTTTGTATTCCACGTGATGAGGAAGGTGAGAACAGCTTAGTCATATATGAGAGGAAAATGGATGGGAAGTAGTGTCTTTACAGTGGCATGGCTCTAGTTAGCACAGCATTCCATGTCAGTACAGAAAAGTCAATGATCTGAACTAATAGTTTGGTATTTTTCTTAGTTCTTTTCTCTTGATATCTTTCTAAAGTATTGGAACACATAGGATGAGGGTGACAATGCCAGTCTGAAGGCACAAGTACTGTAAAGCCCAAAAATTTTCAAACCCAGAGGTACAGTCAGCTCCATTTCACTATGCTAAGCCCAAATCTTCATTAAGTGTTCAACAACACTGAGAGTATTTCTAAAGGTAAAGATATACATTTCTCCTAGAAAGAGCTTGCAGAGGACCAGATGCTACTTATTTATTTAACGTCAAAACCCTATGTTTGAAGTGAAGTCACCAAGAGCTGAAAATGAGTAGGAGGTGTGTGCAATTGACACTGTGTGCCAAGGAGGGGAATCTTTTTCCAGTAGCACCTTTCTCTCCTTTAAGTTTCTTATGCCTCAATTGCATCAGGCGCCAAACTTTGAAGTAGTTTAATATTAAAAGAAACTTTCAGTTATCATTTCCTAACTGTCACTGCGCCAAGCAGGAGGGAATTTATTTTACTCCCAGAGCAATGGTACTAGAAGCAAGAGATACATGGGAGATAGATAAGAACAACACTGAAAACATTTGTTACATTGTCGTCATTAGAGCTTTATTTAATCTGCTGTGGCAGTTCATAGCTCATACTGGTCACTGCAGTACTTTGCTTGTTGGGGGAGTACTCACTGCAGTCGGCTTGCTACCTTCTAATATTAGTGTAATGTTTCAATGACCACATCTTGGTCACGGACACCATGTTAAATAGAGGGCAATTAGTAAAAAATACTTCAGTAATATTCACACAAATATTAGCTGTGGTGAATTTCAGTTTCTCTGGAGCTCATAAAATGCCACGTATGCATCGGTCATGTATAATGCCTGGGGCTGGTACTCCGTTAAAAAACTGGCTTTGTTGCTGCTGGGTACAACCAAAGTGGTTAGTTCTTTTCCCTGGTAGTCTTGATTTTTTGGGGTTTTTTGAGTTTTTTTGGTTGTTTTTTTTGTTGTTGTTGTTATTGTTGTTTTTTGTTTTTGTTTTTTCTCCCAGCCTGTTAGAACTGTAGTTAAATACTAGACTAGCTCTCAGTTATGTCTGGCTTCATCTAGCACCTCACACTGCAGTACTGAATCAAACAGTCCTTGAGATCTGGGTACTTTTGAATCCTGAGTGTTTGCCCATTGCTTTCCAAACCCTATTCTAAAGCCTTCTTTTTTATTTTAAATAAATAAATCAATGGAGAGCTCTGGGTGTTACAGTGTAAGAGCTAGGCTGGATTTTTTGCTAGAACAGTTTAACTTGAAGTATCTCTTTTGAGAGTATTTGGAACTACCAAAAATGTGCAAAATAATTCAGTAAGCAAAATATCATTACTCACTGTGTGTATCCTTGTACACTTTGAATGTTGCTAATAAGCTTGACTGCATTTCAGTGCTGGTGGTCAATCTCCTGAGACTGCAACCTCATATGAGTGTTTAGAACATGCAGTGGTAAACTGTGTTTACTGTTTAGTGGTTGTTAGGGTGATCAAGGGTGCTTTGCATTATGCTACTTGCAAAAGCTGCTATTGGTAGATTTTTATTTTTGTTGAAATCTTTTATTATTCAATGCAGCTTATTAACATATGTGCTCATATGCAACATGTTATTGTAGCTAATAAGCAACTTTTTTTGCATGTAATGTAATAATGTTTTGACTTTGTGGAGCACTACGGAATTGATCAACCACATTTGGCTTGTGTGTTGCTTTTGTATGGGAGGTGATGGAATAAAATTTTTGTAAATTGAACTGCGTATTTATCGCTCCTGTGATTCTTCCTTTATTTCTGGTGTCATGCTACCCAGTGATTCTAGAGAAGTATGTTTAGCCATGTGTATGCTGTTTTATATCAACAGTGACACTAATAGCATTACCACAAAATCTTCTACTTAAGACTATTTAGAAGGTTTTTGACTAAATTGAATTTAGCATTCTTATTTATTGCTTTGAATACTGCTGTAGAATTAATTTCCTGTTTTCAGAGATTACAATTCTGTTTCTGTTGGAGTGTTTGAAAGATCCTCTTCTTCCAGTTTACAATAGGGGAAAAAAAGAACAAAAAAAGGCTTTTGAGGAGTGGAGCTTTGTGTTCTGCTGTTTTCTCCAAGCATAGGCTTTCTGGCTGATAACACTGGTTGGCTTGGTTCCTTCCCTGTATCAGGATGGTTTGGATAACCTTTATATGGCTTTGAAGTTTAATATTACATTTTTCCTTCATATCTTGCATGCAATCACAGTTAAAGAAAATTTGAATTCCTGCTGATAATGTATTATCCTGCTGATAATGTATTCCTTCTGCTGTTCTTTGGAAGATTTTTCTATAACACCTTGTTTCCTAGTTCAAGTTCTTTTTTTGTGTTGTGTCCTACCCTTGAAATTATTTCTGTATTAGTTAGTGATCACCAGTTATTCTCATTGTGTTGTATTTTCCCAAAATCACCTTTTTATTTTTTTAACTCCTGAGAAAAATTTTAATGTTGAGAGATCTGTCTACCTCTCATCCTCCTATGCAGAGCTAACATATTAGCTTGTCTGATGATCAGGACTTGACTCTTTTATAAAAAATTTCTATGTCTGACTGAGAAATAAATCTGCTGTTTAGGAGCTGTGTAGTTCTAACAGCAATAGATAGGTAGTAGTCATATGTTTTAAAGCCATTTATGTGTCATTTCTGTATTTGACTATTTCAGTTTCCCTCTGCTTTATCCCATGCTAACTCAGTTTAATGAGAGGTCTTACTGGCATTTTTGGAGATCTCTGCACACCAAGTAGGCTAAGTTTTTGGGGTTTTTTTTTCTTTGATAATTATGTCGGGTTTTAATACTTTTTACTGGGAAGAGAAAATTGCCAAGGTAATGCACATTTTTGTCCTCTGTCATAGGAGGAGGAAAGGGAAGATAACTGCTCACAGTTAATGCACCGAATTTTGTCTTCCTTTCCACCTTTTTAAAATTTTTTGTATATTTATTACATACTGACATTTTAAGATACTGGGTGTTTTATACTTCTCCCTGCCTGTTCCCACATCTTCTAAAACAGCAAATAAATAGTAATACAATAAAGGAAAGAGGGAGTTATAACCTTGTTATAATCTCCTTTTCTTTCTTCTGTTTCAAATAAATTTTATGGATGTGCAGGGCCAGCACAAAACTCTGCCAGTGCAGCACTCCCCAGCAGATGGTCGTTTGGGGAAGAAGTGTGTACAATGAACCTGATGAACTCCCCCAGTATCTAGCAACTCAAATTACTGCTTAGAAACTTGCTAATCAAATTACTGCCATTTGACCTAGTTTCTATTTCTCTATTCCTCTTTCAACCATATGTACATTTCTCACCTTGATGATCACCTTCCTGAAAAGGCAGCATCACAGTCCAAACGGTGTGTGCTGCAAAAAGATTTTCTTTTAGCATGCCTGATAAGTTTTTCCTGTGTCCCTCAAGTATTATATACTAAGAAATAGTGAATAACTGTATTTGTTTTACATTCTCCTCTTTACTGTAAATTTTTCTTGCATACTCTTTT